CCTTGTGACACATCCATTGAGCTCCCACCATTGCTAACATTGATGGGAGAGTTTTAAAAAAAGTTTCTAAAGTAGGCAGGGCTTCAGGCAACTTCTGTAAATATAGATGCTGCTGCTTTTCAAATAGCATATACATTGGTTGACTTTTGGCAAGATTATCTTTACTGCCAGATAGTGAAGTAGGTAAAATGGTAATGAACCACCAGTGTACTGTAGGAATTTTTCACTGAGTTGTAGCTGAACCAAATTCCACTCTTCCATTCACAAAAGTATATCTGCTTTTCCAATTACTCTAATAACACTGCATAGTAGCTATGGTTTAGCACACTGTTTATGAACTCCCAAACACCTATCTACTATAGTTGAAAATATTTTTATCTTATCTGGGGTTAAAACAGCAGTATTCATATATGCTTTGTAAAGAGATCTGTTGGTCACTTGGAAATTATATGAGCAAATAAAATGTGCATCATTCTCAAATATTTGGTTCTCAAAAGCAGACTGTGAATAAGTTGTCCAAACATAGTGCCATTGTCTCCCTCCTTGAGAATGAGTCGCTTGCATATTTCTTTCAAGTTTAAAGAGAGGCAGCATCGCTTTGTATTTAAAACACAGAATTTTCTAATCAGAAGCTTCGGAATTCCAAACACAGCTCCAGGGATTACTGTGTGTCTCCATTTCCCTATCCATAAAATGGGGAGAATAGTACTTATCTACCTGGCATGGATAATGTTGCTAGGATTTATTAGTTTATGGACCAAATATACCACTTGATGTAAACAGTTGTAATTGGACTTCAATAGAGTTGATGTATCTGATTATGCTGGTAATGATTTGTGCATCATTGTATAGATATGAAATGCTACTAAATATAAGTACTAATTACGATTGCTGGAACTATATATGCAACATAATAACAATAATTAGATCCAACAAAAAGATTTTTGTGTAGATGGAGACAATTTTTGTCAAAAGTTCAAGGTTTTTCTTTTACCAGATCAACTAATACTATGATCTGTATAAAGCCTTTAATAAGGATATTCATGCACCTAATAAACATTATTAATAATTCACACAACATCCCTGTGAGATGAGCAATGTTATATCCATTTTACAAATGAAACATATATGGCTTAGGGTGGGCGGGACACCATCCCTCAGCTACCACCAGACTTCTGCTCAGTCACCACCAGTTTCCCCAGCCCTAACTTACAGGGGTGCCAGCTCCATCCCTTGCTAGTTACTGGTAAAGTCAAGAATATGATTCCCAGTCATTCTTTTCTACCTACTAGAGCTTGTTGCAGCTACACTGCATTTTGCTGAGGTGTAAATGACTGCATAGGTGTAAGGCAGTAGAGAGTCAGACTCTGAAGAGCAGTTCTCAATCTGGGGGTCAGGAACAGATGTCAGGAGGTCAAGGAAGACTACTCTCACCATTCTACACTGGTAGAAACAGAGGGGCATCTTGAGGTGGCGGCTTTATAGAAAAGAGCATTGTAAATGTGAAGGCTGAGTGACCCAGAGCTATGTTTGGTAACCCAGAACTCTGGTCAGTGAGTTGCACAAAGATTTTGAAGTCTCAGAGAGGTCACCATGTTAGTCTGCAACTTAAAAAATGAATAGTCCTGTAACACCTTAAAGGCTAACAAAAATACATATATATAGTATCATGAGCTTCCGTGAGCAAAACCCACTGTTAGATGAGATGAGCTAGAGCTGTGGAGTCCAACAAGTTAGCCACATGTGGCTATTTGGCCAATTGACTGTGGTTAGTTGGCTTGAACAATGTGGGGCTGCGTCTAGACTGGCAAGTTTTTCCGCAAAGGCAGCTGCTTTTGCACAAAAACTTGCCAGCTGTCTACACTGGTTGCTTGATTTTGCGCAAAAGCACTGATGTTCTACTGTCCGAAATCAGTGCTTCTTGTGCACATGCTTTGATGTTCCCGTTCGCGTAAAAGCCCTTTTCCGGAAATGTTTTTGTGCAAGAGGGCCAGTGTAGATACCTAAAAACTTTTGCGCAAAAAAGCCCCGATGGCGAAAATGGTGATCGAAGCTTTCTTGCGCAAAACCACGTCTAGATTGGCACGGATGCTTTCCGCAAAAAGTGCTTTTGCGGAAAAGCATCCGTGCCAATCTAGACGCTCTTTTCTGCAAATGCTTTTAACAGAAAAACTTTTCCATTAAAAGCATTTGCGGAAAATCATGCCAGTCTAGACGTAGCCTGGCTGTTTGAATGTGGCTAATTTGCTATAGCAGAAGCCATTATAGCGGCAAACCAGGGAGCTAGAGTCTAGCTCATCTCATATGATACAATTTCTTGGTCTCTACGGGCACATGTACACAGCAGGGTTTAACTCAAAATAAGCTACGTAAATTCAACTACTTCAATTGCATAAGTTATTTCAAAATAGCTTATTTCAAGTTTTGGTGATGCCTACACAGCACTTATTTCTAAATAAAGCACTCTTCCTCCGACTTCCCTTACTCCTCATCAAATGAGGGTTACAGGAGTTGGAGTAAGAAGTGCTCCAGTTTGAGAGTATTTCGACATTATCTCAAAATAACTGCCTTGTTGACGCAGACTATGTTATTTTGGGCTCATCTAGACTATGCTGAAGTTTCGAAAGATCGAGCTTTTGAAAGTGGAGCTTTTGAAAGTGAAAGTAGTTGGGTTTGCATATCTTCTGATCGCACTTTCGAAAGCGGCTTTTTTGGTGAACCGGCCACTTTGTCAAAAAGCCTCTCTTCGTCAAAAAAGGAGGTTTACGCAGCTTTTCGAAAAAAAGGGGAAAAGCTGAAAAACCCCTGTCCCGACTACTTTCACTCTCAAAAGTTCTGCTTTTGAAACTGAGATCAGAAGAAAATATGCAAATTTGCATATCCTCTTTCGAAACGTCAGTGTAGTCTAGACATAGCCTTTGAAACAACGTTGCTGTGTAGACACAGCCTAAGGTGCCACACAAAGATTTTGAGGTTGTGCACTAGTGGGGAAGATCCATACCAAAGGCTGGCATCCCTACTCTCCTCCCACCTCTAGCACCTGCCCGTGGGTCGGTTCCTCATAGCCCGCTAGGGCAGGCAGTTACTACCCCCGGCGCCCTGAGCGAGACTCTCCTGTCCTGTCCTCTCGTGCCCAAGTCTCCCGACCGGACGGACCGGAGGCCATTTGCTGCAATTGCGTCTGGTCCGCCGGAGTTGTCGGCAGCCCCACCTCGCCCCACTTAACCGTCACTATCCCCAACCTCCCTCCAGCCACCGTTTTCCCTTGAGGAGCCCATAGTGGGACCCCTGGCTCAGGCGCCCTCCTTCCGGCCGCCCGCTGCAGAGCCAGCCTCCAGGGCTCAGCACCACGGTCCCCGCCTGCCGTCGCCGCGTAGGGTCCCGGAGGGGGGCTCATTAGCATAGGGCTGGGCTGCGGCGGGGCCG